GGTGCTTCCTTAAATAGAGGCCTCCCCCAGCAGAGGTCAGGCAGCAGCTATTCAAATTCAAATTCACCCAGGCACTCAATCAGAGGCAAAACAATGCCCCTTCCACTTCCTCTCAATTACAGGCAAGCCCAGTCAAATAATGCCCGTTCCTCTCCCACACTCAATCAGCCAGGACTCTGCAAGAACTCTAAGTGCTTCCACACACTGCTAAACACAGTTTTCCCACAAAATATCCTTAGCTGAATTCTCTCAGCTGAAAGCAAGTAAAAGAAACCCACTCACCTCTCTCACAGCTCTCTCTCCTGCTCCTGCTCAGAGCTCAGCTGGTCTCCTCTGCCTCTGCCAAGGTGTTTCCTTAAATAGAGGCCTCCCCCAGCAGAGGTCAGGCAGCAGCTATTCAAATTCAAATTCACCCAGGCACTCAATCACAGGCAAAACAATGCCCCTTCCACTTCCTCTCAATTACAGGCAATCCCAGTCAAACAGTGCCCGTTCCTCTCCCACACTCAATCAGCCAGGACTCTGCAAGAACTCTAAGTGCTTCCACACACTGCTAAACACAGTTTTCCCACAAAATATCCTTAGCTGAATTCTCTCAGCTGAAAGCAAGTAAAAGAAACCCACTCACCTCTCTCACAGCTCTCTCTCCTGCTCCTGCTCAGAGCTCAGCTGCTCACAAGACTCCATAGCTTAGAGGGAACATTGTCAGGGACCTACATACCTACGTACCTAAGGAACTCCCTTTCCCCGTGTGTTCCCCAGAGAGCACTGCGGTCGGGGCCCCAGAACCGGCTTAAACTGTTTTTGCCAAAAGCCGATTGCCTCTGAATGCTTTTAAATTGCTCTCTTTGCTGGAAGCCTAGCTCTGCTGGTGGGTTTTAAAGGCGATTGAAACTCACACAAAGGGAAACCCTGACTTTTGGAGGGTCTGTGCGCTCTCTCTCTCTCTCTCTCTCTCTCTCTCTCTCTCTCTCTCTCTCTCTGGGGGTCTTGGGAAAATGGTTGCTTTGCTCCGGGGGCTTGCCTTTTAAAAGGGACACTTCCCCCCCCTCCAGTAATGGAGGGGAAACCCCAGGATTTGGGGGAAGGGGCACGTTTGGATGTCCCGGTCGCTTTGCTCTGGGGGGCTTGCAAGGGGGGAAACTGCCTGGCTGGGGTGGGGGGGCTCAGGGAACCCTCCGCCCCAGGGGAGGGGGGCATCTCACGCAGTCGTTCCTGCACCAGACATTGTTTGCACAAGCACTCCTTCCCCTGTACAAAAATCCCACAGGACTGACGTTTCTCCGTTTAAAAAATACAAGTTTGCGGTAAGCATACACACGCAGACACCCCCCCCCCAAAAAAAAAGGCCATTTCTCTTTTAGGCTCCCTTGTGCGACTGAACAACAACAAAAAACCCAGTGGGGGGGGGGGCTGGGTCATGGAGAGCTTTTACATTTTGTTTTTGACAGAAGCCCGCCCTCCTATTCCTCCTTGCGCCAGTGTTGGGCTTTTGGTGCAGCCTCAGAGTCCCGGTTAGAGAGGCAAGTGGTGAATGCATAATTCTGGATTCAGAACTGATGTATTCTTTGAGTATATACAATTTTGTGATGTCACTGGCGTAACAGGCTTCTGCACTCAGACATCTGTAACGCAGTGTGCACTTTCCCACTGTCACGCAGCAGCCTGCAAGAGTTATTTATTATTTATGTATTTATTTATTTTATTAGATTTTTACCCCACCCTCCCAGCAAAGCTGGGTCAGGGCGGCTCACAACAATATAAAATGAGACAATAAATAATAAAACCCAGTCAGTGCAACATTAATATAAATATATACAACTAATAAAGTGCTAGCATTAAGAACATAAGAGACGCCAATGTTGGATCAGGCCAAAGGCCCATCCAGTCCAACACTCTGTCACACAGTGGCCAAAAATAACAGGTGCCCTCAGGAGGTCCACCAGTGGGGCCAGGAGAAGAGAAGAAGAAGAGAAGAGATTGGATTTATACCCCGCCCTTCACTTGGAGTCTCAGAGCGGCTTACAAACTCCTTTCCCTTCCCCTCCCCACAACAGACACCCTGTGAGGTGGGTGGGGCTGAGAGAGCTCTGACACAAACTGCTCTTTTTCAAGGACAGCTGTGCCAGAGCTTGTGACTGACCCAAGGTCACATCAGCAGGTGCAAGCGGAGGAGTGGGGAATCAAACCCGGTTCTCCCAGATTAGAGTCCGCACACTTCACCACTACACCAAACGAGAAGCCCTCCCACTGTTAGAAGTCTTGGTTTTAAAAAGAAACTAATCGATGCAGTCGCCAAATGGCTCGCTCACAGCTTTAATGACAGAAGCTCACAAAGTAGAATTCATGCTCGCAAGACTCCACAGCTTAGAGGGAGCATGGATTGAAAGCATTTCCCACCAATGGGGGAATGCCTCCCGGTGTCTCCACCTATTCCTTCCCCTTTTGTTCTTAGCCGGTGCCGAACACCTACGGGGCTGTATCTGCCCTCGTCTCTGGGGCTTTGGTGTCAATAAGCTGCTGCAGTGGAGTAGTCTCAGGTCATTCTTGATCTGCTTTCAGGTGATCCATGAGGCCACGGGGAAGGGGAACAGAGCAAACGGTTAAAACTCATTTCCTTCTGTCCGCCAGTGCAACTGTATTGTGCATACGTGCTGACCAGTTGAATGGCCTCAAGGGAATAGAGAATATCGTAAGGGGATAGGCTCCTTGATAGGCTCCAGTTTGGTGTAGTGGTTAGGAGCGTGGACTCTAAACTGGGAGAACCGGGTTTGATTCCCCACTCCTCCACGTACAGCTGCTGGTGTGACCTTGGGTCAGTCACAAGTTCTCTCAGTTTGGTGTAGTGGTTAGGAACGTGGACTCTAATCTGGGAGAACCGGGTTTGATTCCCCACTCCTTCACATGCAGCTACTGGTTTGACCTTGGGTCAGTCACAAGTTCTTTCAGAGCTGATCTCTCAAGAGCAGTTCTCGAGAGAGCTCTCTCAGCCCCACCTGCCTCACAGGGTGTCTGTTGTGGGGAGGGGAAGGGAAAGGAGACTGTAAGCCGCTCTGAGATTCCGAGTGAAGGGCGGGGTATAAATCCAATATCCTCTTCTTCTGT